AGTTATTGGCTTAAAGTCAAAATACGTGTGGTGTTTTAACTTTAATTTTATGATTTATAAATTATATTTAGCACTTTTTTTTATCTGTAAACAAAATAAAAATGTATGCTTATAAAAAGTTTAGAAAACTAAGAATAGAATGGAAAATAACTTGTTTATTATATTTGTTTTATGTAAACATTAGAATATAGACATATTCTGGCAGAATTAAATTTTTTTGTTAAATATTTACTACTTTGGCTGTATGAGTCCGGATTCAATATTATTTAATTTTGAACTGTCAAGTGTCACTTAAAAAACCGGGAAATGTTGCAGTTTTTTTGAAGTGATTTTCTCCCGAAATGAATATACTAAATGTGTATGTCGCTTTACGTAATTTGCTTATAATTTGATGTTAATTGTGTCAATGAATGTAAGTACAAGCACTTCCATGTTCTTATACATTTACGACAAAATCTCTTATAACTAAGCTCTTATGTGAATGACTGAATATATATGTATGGATGAAAATATATGTATTTACAATATAATTTTAAATAATACGAGAGTTTTTTAGGAATTTTTTCTTCAGTGACATAAATTATATTAAATTTACATTTAAAATGTTTATAATGTGATTCATATATCTATTGACAGTAGAATAGAAAAAATAAAAATTCTGTCCGGTAAATATTCTCTATTAAACCCACGTAAATTCTGATTGTACTGTGATGCCAAAATATAGTTTAGATATATGTAAAAAGTTAAACTTTTGTTAAATTATTAATAGTCTATCGTCACCTTATTTATTGCTTTTAGTAATAAATTTTATTGCAAATCTCGTGTCTTATTTATTCAAGCTGTCCTACTAAGATTAATAAAATATTTTTTTGTAGTTTAACAATATTGTAGAAGTGAAATTTTGAGTTAAATAAACGATATTCATTATAATCTAGTCAAACATACGTAAATATTTCATTTTAAGCCATTGGTGATACTTTTTTACAAATTTTTGTGATTCCTTTCTAAATATGATATAAGTACACTTTATATAAAAGCAAAACCAAAAAAGGTTTAAAATTAAGAATTGTAATTAAAATTGTCTAACTAACTAAAAAAAATAATCCATCTTGAGTCTCTCGCTCTCTTGTGGTGCAAGTGCTGCCCAGTAATATGAATTGAGCGGGAGGAAACTTGAACATTTTAACAAATTGATGATTCTTACTTCATTATACGTACTCAAGATAAACCAGCTAGAAATTACCTGGATTCCGGATATACACTTTTATTGTGGAATTATTATGTAGATGTGCAAAATCGACATAGATATTATCCCGGCTAAAAAAGTTGCAAAAGATCAAAAAGTCACGAAAATCCGCTTTTTGCAAATATTTCGCTACCTATTGCTCGGAGGTCGATAGAGCTCATTATAAAAATTGTCCCTCATAAAATTATCTACAAAAACGTGTTTTGCAGTTTTTCTGTAAAGTTAACAGAATGCCCTCACGTACGATACCGTATGCCGTACACCACGGCGGAAACTCTATTGCTTTTATTAATATTTGTAATGGTCTTCAAACTTTTAATTTTATATTTAGAAATTTCCAGAAAGATATTTTTATCGCATAGAGGTTTAGGTTTTTTAGTAAGACATATTGTATCTCATGCGAACATTATCAAATAGTGCTGTTGGATTTGGATTTAATTCATATTGTAAATATTCACAAAGATTCTCTTCAAATTTTTTATTAAAGAAGAGTGGTTGAAATTGCTATAGTGGATCGATAGTTACCTTACACTTATGAACTATGATAGAAACGTAGATCCGTTACCTATTTTCATAAATCTTCCCTCCAAGATTGAATGAAATCAGCGCGAATACCACAACTAGTTAGAACATTTTTATCTACGAGTATTCCAAATCTCATTACAAGAAATTTATTTATTTTTCTCAATAATCATTGGGGCTTTAATTTTATACTATTACCACTAGATCAATCTACGATTTTCTGTTAAACTTTTTGAAGTTTTTCTTTTTGAGATATAAAAGCCTTTGGAATGGCACTGATGATCATCAAAACGCAACGCATTCCGATCGCGACATTAAATATTTTTAAAAACAATGTAAATCCGTTGGTTTAGTGAATGTTGATTCTTCAATATTAGTGGTTAATTCAGATATGGTCAAGTGTGGTATTTAAATTTCGATACTGTATATTTTTTTTGCGTAATGAGTGTAGTCAGAAAAAAGCCACTTGGCGGGACAGATATTGAAATTGTGAGTTACTTACATATTTTCAAGTTTCTTTTGGTACACTGTACCTGTCTATCCCTATCCAGATTGGAATCTCGTGACAAATATTTAAATATTAACGCTTTTAGATCCTAAAACTTTAAACACTGTAATAATGATCACTACTACTAAATATTTTTCTTGAAACTGGACTACTGCCCACTTTCAAAGACAATCAACCAATTTGTTAAAATGTGCAAGTTTCCTCCCGCCAAATTCAAAATAGAGGGCAACACTTGCACCAAAAGGGAGCGAAAACTGGACAAAAAGGCAAAAAAACGGGTGATTGATTCAAGATGGATTCTGGATGTCAACATGAAAACAATATGTAATACAATATTCAATCCAAACTTTGCCATTTCATTATTTACATTTTTAATGTATCCTGTGACTTTATATTCTTAAGTTTTTGAAAAAGTTCAATAACATTTTGTTTTAATACTATCGATATTTTGCCATTAGCGAAGAAAAAACTACACAAATAAAGTGAAGCGGTTAATAAAAGACAGTTCAATAATTTAATATATTTATAATAGAAATAAACTGCAACGAAGATTTTGAATTAATTCTAAAGACATTATCATAATAATAATAATAATATATATTTATTAAATTCATTTCTGGAAGGCGTTATATTTACTACTATCCTACTGTAGTCAATGGAAAAATTATTTAAATTTACATTGGTTTAATTAAATTTAAAAATGCTTTAACGGTAACATAACATAAAACTAGACAGAATATGTGGTTGTCAAAAAAATATTTAATCCATATTTCCAAACACGATACATCATTACAATTTTAGGAAAAATCTTTTTTTTAAATAGTAACCAAAAAATATTTAAAGATAAAGATTAAAATGGTGAACCAATATTTTAACTACAACTTTAATATTGAACCCAGAAACAGATCATGTTGAAGTTTTGTAATCGTAACACTTCGGTTTTAAATCGTATCAAATAATAAGAAAAGCATCTTCCGAATTTACCCATAATCTGAATTTATAAACTATAAATTTATAAAAAAATGCTATAAAATTACGAAAAAGAAATATAAAAAGGGATTATTAATTAGCTTCTGTATATTTGAAAATGTTTTGTGCATTATATATTTTACTGTTTTCGAATGTTTAATTACTTCGTAGCTAACATGAAATAATTTCACCTTGGATAAAAAGCAGTGTTGGATTCACGAACATAGCCGAAGATTTACGAATAAAAAACTTCAACTACCCTTCACACACAATATGTTATATAAATACACATTTGTACAAGCACAGAAGTGTTTATTTTCTATTATAACAATATCTCTATTAATATTAAAATGTTTTGTTAAAATCTCGCACCATTTATATTTTGTAACGGCACTGTAATGGAATGTTTACTGTATAAGGCACTTAAATCACAATGAGCTTACCAGTTATATAATTATATTAATATAAATTTCATTTATTTAGTATAATACAATCACAAAAAAAAATTTCAGTAAAACGAAAGAAATAAAGATTGTATTCAATCTAGTACAAAATTATGAAATCTCATCTAATTTAAGAAATATATTATATAAAATTTTATGATAACTTCACACATAGAACAAATATATAAAAAATACTTCATAAGCAATATCCTCCGCTTTTGAAGTCGGTCAATATAATAAATTTATAAACACAGGGAGATAATATTTTAACGTATTAAGTTAGTAGGCATTTTTTTCTTGACAGAATAATAAACAACATATTATAACTTAACAAATATATATGGCTTATGATCTTATTTTATCACATGAAAATAAATTGCTCACTAATAGAATCACAAAACTATTTCAGATACATATTACATTACAATTATTTTAGTTCATAATATTAAAATTACTCTAAATGCTTAGGAATTTATATATATAACTTTCCTAATTTTTCTAATATATATTAATAATAGGATAATTGACAGAAAACCATTCTTTTCACCATGAATTTTCTCTAAATACATTATTCTCTATACTTCAAAAGATCAAAAACAATCATGTTACCAATTACTCATTACATTATTACTGTGAATAATAATTAATCAGATAATTAATATATATTCATAGACAAATATAAATATACTACAAATCGTTGCCTATATGAAAGAAAAAGAGCAATATTGTCTATGGTGTTGCCATAGTCAAAAATATTAATCGGTCATTATAACAATATTTGTTTTTCTAAATTCGATTTAATCGTAATTTTTCAAATAAATTCTATTTCAATAACACATGAGAATATATATTAAAAATGCATATCGAATTTAAATACTGTTGAAAAAAATCCTTTGTAGGTATATAAATTTTCAGAAATTCTGAATACTTTGTAATTTATATTTATATTCATTCTTACATAGCTATTAACGTTAAAGCTAATTGTTTCCTTAATCCGAGTTTGCATCACCAACTTATACGTACGTAACTTTGTTACTGTAAGTTTCAAGTTAAGGATGACAACTCATACTAATGCCTAGTAACAATTGTATATATTTTATTTCTGTCACAATCAATAAAATCTTAATAAATAGCTAATAGCATTAAAATATCAAATTGGTTAGGGTTTACAAAAACATGTCAAAAATCATACATACAATTAATGTCAGTAATAAAATTATATTTTAAGTTATAAAGTTATTTGGTCATTGTATAAAAAATATCTCTAAATATAACATAAGATAGAGGAATATATAGATTTAATTTAATATCGTCAAGAATCCGAATCGAATATAGATTCTTTAGTCTCAGAATCGAATTTCAAAATACTTTCACATGTGAGATAGTCCATATCCGACAGATGTCGCTTCATCATTAGGTGAGGAGTTTTCATCACCTCTCTTTCCTTGATGAACGATGGTATTTTCCTCATATTTTCCATAAAATGCTGTATTACAATCCTCTCAAAGAACAACGCTATCACGAAATTGAACGACGCCAGGGCTAAAACTATGTATGACATTAAAACGTCCTTGGGCATTCTGAGTTGAAGGAATTTTGCCAACCATTCCGCTGGCGAGAGGGTTATATATATACATAATAATGTCATTATTACAACACTTATCATTAGTTTAGTGTTTGTTATCACTGATCGTCTGTATGGGGAGCCATGACTGAATACTATCGCCATAGTTATATATTGGAACATAGATACGGTGAAAATTGCGTAGTTTTCCCAACATTCGTTAGCCTCAGCGCCTTCGTATGTATGTCGTACATACCACGGGAAATATGTTAGGGATAGGAAACTCAAGTATTGAGCGATAGCTATCAATACTATTTGACCGACCAAAGATGATAAAGGAACTATACCCAGTAGTGACGTCAGAGGTGGTAGTTTACATAATTCGCCCGTATAAGCTTCCGTCATACCAAAAAAGAACGCGAAATTAACTATCAAAGCGACATCTACATACAGGAATTGGAAATCAGTTAGATTTGAATCAAAATAGTATAGGAATGCCACTGAGAAGAATTCTGTTAGAGAATATGCTATCATGAATTTGAATATACCGAAGCTAGTAGATAAGGCCGCTCGACCTTCCTTTAAGAGGCGAGCAACACACGCTATGTCTGGTCGAGCGCTGCTAAAGGGCGCCGCGACGCTACACTCACGGGAGAGAGAAACGCCCACGTGGGCGGCACGGAGAGCGCCCACGTCGTTGGAACCATCGCCACACATACCTGCAACAAGGAATAGTAGTGCATGAACTAAATTATATTTCAGGATAGGTGGGAATTATTAGTATTAATATTTTAGGAACTGATTTAAAATTGCCAAAAACACTTATATGTATATATGGTTTTTATATTTGATAGCCTTACTGGGGAAAATCAAAGTAGACCTTAGTATTTAATAAAACTTGAAAAACTTAGTTATTGACATCACATATAAATAAAACTTTTTTGCATATCGCCAAACTTAATATACATTAATATAATATATATGAAATCCTTAACTCACCGACGTAATAACCAAGAGCACGATAATCAAGCACCAGTTGTTGTTTGAGGTCCGGAGACACGCGAGCGAACACAGCACCACGGACTAACACACGACCCCACACAGATGAAGACAGACCACGGACAGACTGAGAAGGAAGAAGAAGAATTATGAAGAAGAATTGTTAAGAAGAGTTATGAAGAAGAATTGTAAAGAAGAGTTATAAAGAAGCAATAATTCTTCTCTTAGAGAACAGAGGTATTAATATCTCAAGAATACCTTATTATTATTTGTAACTTGAACTTATAAATAATGTAAGTATTATTATAACAAAATAATTGAATATTAAACTGTCTAAACAGACAACAATACAATACAAAACAATACTTTTTAGTGTTCTTGAAAAACAATATATATTATGATTTATGAGATTATCATTAAACAAAAATAGCGTAAATAATCCTTAATATTGTTATTTCTTTTAAATAACACAGTTTGAAATAATTAAATTACTATATTATAATCAAACTAAAAGTGTATATGTTAATGTATATCACCTTCCAAGTATCTCCAGTCATAACTATCTTGTATGTCGGTTCATTTAACGCCGTTTCCAAGTCTTGTGTGCTCGTGTGTGTGTTTGTGTGTGTGCTCGAGCCACACCCACTGTCCAGATTGTCCCAAATTTTGTCCAAGGTCACCCTACGACCTACAGCCACCTGGTGACGTCACAAATAACTTTAAGCGACTTATATCATGTATACTTTTAACCAATATTAGTTGAATTATAAATGAATGCGAGTTATTCTTTTTATGTCTTTCCACTTACATAGAATCACTAACCAATCAAATTTCTTACAAACTCTAAAGATTTTTTTTGTTGCGGGTAGTAATGAAATGTTAAATAGAACATATATCCGTTTATAAACTCAAGAATTTGATCTTTGTTATTATGAATAATATCACTATCAAGATTGTCTTAGATTATATAGTAAAATAAACCAGTTAACTACTTTAAATTCTTGGTAAAAATGAATAATATAAAATCTGAATACAATAAAAATCGATAGTAATTACTGTAATGAAAGTTCAGGAGCTAAATCCTATAGCCTTTAGGTATATATATAGCCTTATATACTTAGTTATATACTAACCCCATGTAATGTATTGTCACAGTACACGCGCCCACCATCCACACTCATGGTGACCACACGCTCACCGCTGGCTAGAATACCACACTCCTTGGCCACACTTATAGCTGTGTGTATGTTGTCACCTATAATAATAATATTTATATTAAATTCACGTTAAAGTTGTAATAAATTTATTTTATTTATATTTATTATGTCACATTTTCATTATTTTTTTGTGTTTATTAGTGAGATGCTCCAAATTCTGAACAGTCCAATTCAGTATAATTTTTAGGAAAAAAGTGTTAATAATATATATATTTGTAATATTGTACATAGTTATTATTTAAACATCTTATGCCTTTAATTAGTAAATTCAGAGTATGTATTGGAATCAATGAGGGATTAAAAATATATGAACAGGTTTCAAACTAGTGTCCCTGTACCATGATATAATTACATTGTTTAATATTGATAATTTAATACCCTATTTATAAGGTATCATTATTCACCTGTAATCATAACAACGTGTATGTTTGCTTCTTTCAATTCCCTTATAATGCCAGTAGTAGCGGGCTTCAAACGATTCTCCATTATAACAAGACCAAGGAACTCTAGTTCACATTCAACCTATAACAATTATATAATTAATTAATTATTGTTGATTATATATTAAAATTTTTGTTGTGGTTACTGTTCTGAAGGCAATTAAATAAATGAATCGTTATTATCTAATTGCTTTGTTGTTTCCCAATTTAAGTTGTCATTATATACAGGGTGACTGGTGAATTACTATCAATATTTAAGGACGTGGTAGTTGACGATCATATATGACAAAATAAAAATTAATATAACATAAATATTAATAAACTTCTAAGTAAAGTTAACCAAAAGTTATGTAATTAATTACGGATCGCGTGGATACCCTAGCTGCGTTATCGACACAAAACAGTTATGTACGTAGGTATATGTAGTTATCGCGCGGTAGTTTACCTACAACCAAACGCCGCGCGCCGCCGCGTGTTAGACCTTAGATAAACAAAAATGATCCAATTCCCTTCATACTTTAATCCTGGCTTAGGACAGGCAAAAATACCAAGATATTTCTTTCGTTTAAGCAACCAATTTATTGACTAGGTAAATGGTGTGACCTTGACACGAAAAATAATATGAACTGTTTACCTATCTTGGTATTTCCGGCGTATTTAAAAATGGAATCATTCTTATTTACAACAATTGTCAATCATTAAACTACCTATTTACCTATATAACTACACTAACCTTAACAAATGTTCAAAGCGAGCTCCTTCTCGTGTGATACACAGTTCGGCACGTTTACACATATTGTCTTTCACACGATTAAATACGAATGGGTCACTTTTAATGGTTTCGAAAGCACTATTGATTTTTAATTTCAACTCCTCTCTGTTTACATACATTGTAGCATACACAAGACGTTTCCTTGGGCATGTGTTGGAACACGGAACTGTCCGAAGTCTCGTAATCTTTGATTAGCGTTTAAGATGACGCTGGCCGTAGGTACTCGACGATTGGGGAACATCTCCCGGTACAAATTGATTGCGCCCGGCAAGCTATCATTTGCACGCGCATACGCATGAACCATGTCCAAGTATTCTGCATTTGTGTATTGAAAAGCCATATTTAATTACTAATAAGTAATAACGGGTCACACGCACACACGACAGATTATTATTAGGTAGACGCGTAAGATCGATCGCTAGGCGCGCGCGCGGGAAGACGAACGTACGGACCTTACGGCGGCGCTCGCGCGACTAATAGCCGAGTGCCGACTAATGGCCCGCTAGCCACGGGGCGGGGGTTGGGGAGTAGCGACACACTGGCGACGGCAAGGCTGAGTACGTGTCCAAACTTTATTTATTTATACGGAAATTTGGTCAAAAATTAAGTACCTATTTTTTTTACATAATTCGAATGAGAATCATGTACCGAGTATGCTCCTTGAATATTGATAGTAATTCACCAGTCACCCTGTATATACATTTTGCACAACCTTTCTCAAATACTCTGCACACTAAGAGATCTAAGATTTTCGCTAGTTTTATTGATTTAAATGAAACTAATATTTTTCATTTATACTACGCGACTTTATTTTAAATAAAAAAAAAAATAAGTCACGTAATATATTCGAAAAATATTACTTTCATTTAAATCTCTGTACACTCTTTATAAATACATATAATTGTTTATAATATGAGTGTTTATTTGTTTATACCTCCTCTCTCTCAATTCTTATCAATTGTAAAGGTGGGGTCCTCAATACTCTGCTCCCTAGTGCTATAACTCTATACCCCTTCTCTGCATATGATGATAACACAGATTCAAGGTCAGCTGGAACTGATATAAGAAAATAAATTATTACTAACAAATAAATAATTACATAATATTGATAGTGACAACCCTATATGAGATATTACTAATAATTTTTGTGACAACCCTAAGATATAAAATCTTTTATATGTAAAAGTTTTGGTGTATGTTAACTTCAATACTATCAAAATTGCCTTTAAATTAAAAAGAAATTCATTAAAGATGTCTAGTTAAATGAGTTTATGTATTGTAACAAAGATTAAAATTATATTAATACAAGTTCTGTAACAATGAAGCCTCTTTTAATGTACAAGTTAAATCCTTACTAATATTATAAATGAGAAAGTAAGTCTGTCTGTCTGTAACGCTTTCACGCCTAAACCACTGAACTGATTTTACTGAAATTTGGTACAGAGATAGAGTTGACCTTGAAAAAGAACATTGGATAGTTTTTATCCCAGACTTTAGAAAGGTTCTCTTGGAAACGCGATATAACCGAACTCCACGCGGGCGAAGCTGCGGGCGGAAAGCTAGTAATATGGTAGTAATAACCAGTTTCCGGTCGACACAGCGTCCGTATCATTTCCGGTGCCCCCTTACAGTACAGACGTATGACATCTTCTCCTAAAAGCTTCACAGCCACTGACGACCGCTGCAGCGCTGACACGAATTGATATTGATGGACGATCCCAACTTCAAGCGGCATCTGATATGATAAATTATTATGAATAAAACATTATAACATAATGCCTTAGATATTTTATATATTAATAAATTTAACAATCGGATAGATATTAATTTTAGATCATTTGTTTCATAAATTTATATTAATCTAGTTCTTTAAACTGAATATAAAAAATTTATATAATTTTTTGTTGAGAGCGCCATCTATTATCACGATGGTGTAATTAAAAAGTAATTTCATAACTCACGTGTAAATCATCAACGTGTATATTAGCAGATCCTTTCGGCCTGACTATTGTAGGTGTGAGCACATCAAATTTATTAGTCTCAGCCACTTCCGGTTCCTCCAAACTCCATCCAGTCGACTCAAACATCTTTTGGTCCATAAATGAAATATTTATTATTGTATATGTTAAAACTTTCTTTACCAAGAAGTTTGTATATATATCTCACGTATAAGTCACAGAGTATATATTTACCTTTAAGTCAAGAGGATCGCCAGCCAGATTTCCATTCAATAATGTTAGACTGTGGCATGAAGCCATGCCTATCTTCAATTCGTGTAAGTCGTTCAGTAATTTCGGATCTCTTGTAGGTCTTGCTAGCATTGGAGGGGAGAGATTAGTATTGGTTGTGACAACCCCCCACATATCAAGGCCGTCTTCTGTTAAAGTTCCTGTCTAGAATATTAGAATTTCTTTATTAAATTTGTCTTATGGTTGAAATTATTACTTCTTTTTTGGTCTTAAGTACAGATATATCTCAGAGAAGTGCCTTAAACTTAGAATGTCCGAAAAGAACATAAGTTGTTATAGTAATTTGAAACTAATTTCCCTTAGAATGTAGAATAACATAAATATTCTTATAGGATTTTTTGTCTGAGATCGTAATGTATATATTACGACGAATACCTAATTAAAAATTTTCTGCCATTATTTTCCTACCTACAAATCTTTATATATATAATTCTTCTGTGAGTGTGTATGTCACTGAACTTCTCTCAAACGACTTGACCGATTTTGATGAAATTTTTTATGTGTGTTCAAGGGGATCTGGGAATGGTTTAGAGATTCACAATTTTGTCCGCTGGACAATGTTTTTTTAATTAATTTTTAATTTATTAGTAGTTGTTGATACAAACGTTTTTTTTACATTACATTTGACAACTAACTATATGTCAATCATTCTGTCGCACTTCAAAACACGGAGATTTATGGCTTTAATAGGTAAACTCCAAAAATATAAATAAAAAAAGTAACAGATATTTCTTGATTATAGAGCGATACGAAGTTCGCCGGGTCTTATAGTATATGTATAAAATTACATTAAAATAAATAGATACCTTATCAAAACACATGCAGTCTAACGATCCGCTGACATTAACAGCTCGTGTGTTGAGACACGAAATCTCAGCCTTTTTGAGTCGACCCACAGCATACAGCCTGCCAACTGTCATGGCGGCCGGAAGTGCGGGCGGAACTACTATTGTTATGATGTCTAAGGCTTTCAGAATTATATCTCCTACAGTGAGACCTCGGTAAGCCTATAATGACATTTTTTTATGAATAATATGTTTTTATACACTTGATACATTTTGTATTGATTTCATTTGAAGCTTGTTAGGAGTGTGTATGAAAATTTTCATAGATTTTTAGTCTACCAAAACTAAATAATTATGTAACAAACATTGATTGTAAAATTGGATCATTATTATGTCAAGATTTAACAACTATTGTTTAATATACATAAATAGTATGTAGTCAAAAAAATAAAATATATATTATGAGCTTTTATTTAGTCGAAAACTTTCATATATTTTTTAAATATCAGCTAACTGGTCACTTATATTTGATAACATTTCAAAAATTACAAGTTATTTTTAATTGCAATGTAAGAAACTCACCTTTAAAGCGACAGTGTACCCTAGGCCCAATATAGCTATGACGGTCAGAATGAATATAAACTTGTAGGAATCTCTATCAAACTTGAAATCTGCTGGGGCGGGGTATAGAATGCTTCGAACTAGCTCACCCTTCGTAGTACTATATCCAGTACGAAGTACTACAGCCCTGGGAAGGAATGAAAAATCTTATCATAACAAGTAGACTATAAGAGGAATATTCCTCTTTCAAGTGGACTATAAGATGACTATTCCTAATTTTAGTCTTATAATCCTATATCAAGGATATATTGAGGTAAATATACTGATACTTATATTTTTTTAATCTTATGGCCAATTTGTTTTAAAAAGTAATTTAAATTTACGCTGAATGAGAATGGAATAAGTTTAAGATTCTTTTATCAGATATTTTGTCAATAATTATTATGAGAATCTAGTACCAATTTCAAAAGCAATGGCTACTTTAGTACTAATTAGGACCAGAAAATATTTAAATGGGCAAATAATTCAAAGATAGTATATTACTTGACTGGTTCGTTGTTGTAGTATCTCGTCTGCAATACTTCAGTGCCACAGAATAGCACACTCGAGCTATGTTCCTTCATGTTAAACTCTTTATCAATACGCTGCAACGCTAACTTCGTCACTGGAACCGATTCTCCTAAGAACATAAAAGTATTGCAATAAATGGTAGACATTTGAATTAAGCTGCATTATAACGTATTTGTTTCGTGAATATCAAAGTTTAAAGAAGTTAACATTTATTCAATAATTACGTATTTTTTTGCTCATAAAATATTTGAATGTTACTATATTTGTAATACTCATTACGTCTTACAACTATGCGCTTTTTTTTGGGACCGGAAGGGATGTGTGAGACTCGACCTGGGCAGGCCCCTACTCACTAAAACCACTGCGAAAGCCATCTGCTATGTTGGTGTACCCCGGATCTGTCAGCGACTGGTCGGTCCTGGCAAAGCCTGGACAAATATGCCCTACCACCAGATATATTTCAATCAACTCACCAGTCAACATACTCTCATTGACGATCGCCTGTCCAGTTAGCAGAGCAGCATCACACATCATTGTGGTACCATTCGCTGGTAACACCAATACGTCTCCCGGACACAATGCTCGACTGTCAACTATCCTACCACCCCATAGTTCAACAGTGGCTCGAGCTTCTACCGTATCACGCAGAGTTTCTTGATTCTTTTTGGAATTGAAAAAATTGGGAAATTGTAGTCATTATTAATATAATAATAGCTAATTTAGGAATCAGCTGTTTGCAATTAGTACAGGTAGCACAAAAATATAGTTATTTGTGGATTCATGGCAATGAATACAAAGCTTTTAATAATGTCAAGATCTTAAATTGTTACGTCCTAATAGTTTAACATTTCAAGGATAGAGGCGTTTAGCATTGACCTTCTAATAAATGGTAATGTAAAATAGGGTATATAGGTGTGTTAAACTCCGTGGAAAAAAAACGTGCATATTTGGATATTACTCAAAGGAACAAATGGTTTTTTCATGATTATGGACAGAACCGGGAGTATCAAATCAAATTCTATGAAATTCCACTCATATAAAAATCAAACTAAGGATATTGTGGTCAAACAAAATAACACTTGTATGGGGTTTTGAAAGCAACCTTACTTATCTTTAGCTGTAACTTTTGTTATGAACCTGTCTGCTAGTTAAAAGAAAATATAATATCATTTAAAAGCATTAGTGAATTATTTACTACTAAATAGTTATTAACTACCTCATTTAAATATGTGAAAACTATTAATTTACAATCAACCATTATTAATATAACATACTTATTTTTAACTCAGTTTTACTTGTCTATCTAAATTTTATAACATAATCCTTAATTTGAAATAGAGATGAATTCATTATATTTCTCTTGGACTATTTAAATACTTTAATATTTTCATCTAAGCCCTTCTTAATTCAATCAAATTCTATTAGGTAGTATTTGAGTTATAAATACAAACATACATACACAAACATTGGTATTATATCTATAACTAACTATTTCACAATTAACTATCAACAAAGTCACAGAATCTCTTTATAATTTATATTATAAGAATTTTGGTAAGGAATATATATCTTTTATAATTTAGTTAAACGTTATATTAATTGAAATAGCATAACATTTTTTATAAACCATAATCCATATAATACATGTTATCTAATTAATTAACTTGAATTACCTTTTTGGTTTGTATAACAGAAGTGGCAACACCAAATGTAGACATAAGTACTACAGCGACGCAGTAATAGTAGTAGGGCTCAGCCAACCACACAGCTATAGTGAACAGTTGGAACACATAGAATGGATTGAAGACTTCTAGTAGGGTCAGGGTCAATATAGATTGGACAGGCACTTTAATCTCATTCAAGCCATAGATGTTTAACCTGAGAAATAAAAATAAAAATTGAGAAATAACTCGTATTTTTATACCAAACAAAATTGTACACAAATGACGTTATTTCAAAAACGGATGGTTAATTAATTAGACGGTAAAAATTTGTTTAGGAATACACAAATCCAACTTGATGAATAATCTTAAAATTCTTATCATAATATATAATTAAAAAGCAAAACCCTAACCTTTATCTAAAAAAATTCATAACAAAAACCCAAAATCGTCAACCATAAGCCTCTCTCTATATTTTAATGCCGTTTCCTTACACGTCATGTGTCACAGTTATACTGAACTATATAAAAAGGGATTTGTGGATGAAAAAGCTCGAGACTGAGATCTTAGCAACCCTAACCCAATATATGATTAAAAAAGTATAAACGTCATCTCTAAAAATAATCTGTCAATAATGACAACTGACATTCTCATTCTCCTCTCAGCGCAAGGAGGGCGGGAGGCGAGTGTATGTACATTAGTACAACTAGCTCCTCGCTCCAAGCCCGCAACCTTCGACCACCTCGCACGAACACAGTCCCATACTAACTGCTGCTTCTTATGACGAAACTGACGATACTGCTGTACATCTGTATGAAAATTATTATTTATTATACAACAAATATAGGAATAAAAATATATTATCAGATTACAACGCGATATATTTTTTTTAAAGTATATATTCCCGACGTTTCGGGTACTTAACAGCAATCGTGATCATGGGCAGATGAGTTGTGATATATTAATTCATTTAGTCCATACATTTCTTCTTAATTAACTTCATATAAACTTACTCAATTTTGTCCCATCCTCTAAAATTATTGGTGTGTGAAGATCATCTGCACTGTTAATAATCTTTTCTTCATCAAACCCTTCATCGAAACCTTCATTTAGGAGACCACTGTAATGTAAAATTAATAGCAATAAAATACTGAAAACAACTTATTCATACACAAGTTTTATTTCCATGTACAATATTTCTTTACAATTGAAATATTAATAATTATTACCAACCTTGAATCAGCTATATTCTTATCAAATATCCTATGAATATAGTAACTTTTACATTTCTTTTGATATGTTTCCTGAAATTTAAAAGAAATATTAGAACATTTTTACAATAAAAAGTATATTAAATCAAGTTTCATCTTCAAAAGTTTATATTAACAATTATTGGTTCCTACTATTCAACATAAATAAGAAAAATAATATAATTAACTTATTATAAGAACTCTTTTAAAATACTTACTACAACTAAAACCTTATCTGCTACTTGGAAGCTGCATCTATATGAGGTAGCATACAACAGCCATGTCGGACACCAATGAAACACCAAGAACGGTATACCACAGGTAAAAGTTGATAGTATGTATACCAATAAAGTACGCCATCTTGATCGGCAGTAACCATATACAACCTGTTTGGACAGAAAAAAGAGGAATATTTATAATCTGTATGATATATATTTCCTTAAATCATCATGTTTTTACAGAAAACTAGGCAGATATTTAAACTAAAATATTCTGTTATGGATAGTTGTAATATATTCATAAATTTTGAATAAAACTTGGTTTTATAATTGAAATGTAGTAACGGAAACAGTGTATTAGATTAGATATTTAAAAAAATTATTACTATATTATCTCTATAACAAAGTTTATTACAAGGGAAATACCCAGCACAATGGCATAATACAATTTATTCAGTATGAAATTAATAACATTTAAAAAAAATGTACTTATAAAGAAATAGAAATTTAGTTTAAATTTTTTAGTGCCATTGTGATATCAAAATGTTGAGAAAAAAATTGGCTCTAAGTAGTTTTTCTTAATCTTCTTCAAGACTACAAAATTAAATTAATAATTTAAACCACTTTAATGAAATACTGTAATTAATATATACATTTATATATTTCTATGTTGTTTTTATTTGAAATTATATGTTATGTGAGTATGTACATGCATCTGTATACCACACTTTTGTTCAAAAAAAAAACATTTTTATTAAAAAAAGAAACCAAAATGACAATATATTCTAATTATAATTCTCATTAAAATATTATTAATTTATAAAAAAAAAATAAAGTACTGATGCTACAGAGAAGTACATATGTTTTTAAATTATTAAAGAAACAATTCTTATATAGTTATAGATTTAAACACTTAATATGTTAACATTTCTTTAGTACATCTTTAGTGTTTATAACTTCTGCCATTAGCTTATTAATTATAATAATTTATAATATGACTAATAAAGCCTGAGTCATTTAATGTTAAATTAAAAGTACAGTTATTATTAATATTATGATTTCTTAGTGATATCATATTATGTACTGTTAGGCTTCTGAGGCTTTATGTATCCTTCGTGACAATAAAAATATCAATATTATTACTTTAAAACCAGTTATTGTATAAATATAGTATTACAATCATAATATTTGTGAAAAAAACACTTAAAAAACCTTTATACATAGTGAATGAAAATAATTGATATATTTCTTACTGCAATCAATTTTAGAAAAAAATATATATGTTTTTATATTGAGAACACAATAAAGGGGGCGGATATGATATAAATAAATAAATTAATTACCTCTTCTGAGTCAACATCTGCTTTTATACTTTGTGAATAGAGCTCATCAAAAAACGTTAAATTGGGTAATGAGCTATATTCAATTAATGGTTGTATTTCGTCTTCTGATTGCATGGCTGTTACTTAACAATATAAATTCAAATACTAATAATAATTTAATACTACGAAACTCTCAATCAAACACATTTCGTCACGAAATCATTTAAAATTTCGACACTGTAACATATTGTAATTCAAACTTTTTCTTATAATATGGCAATTAATATATTTATATTAAAATTTCAAATGTATTCTACTATTATTTAAACAAGCACAAAGCACTGCACAATACTGATACACAACGGGAAAAAATGATTAAATATAAAGGTCAACTAAATTAGAATGAAATAGCAATTAGAATAACTTTGTCGTATTAAACTCAATATCTTGTACGATATTTATTATATGATATTTCCCGTCACAGATAAGCTCGCTCTAAAACTCATATAAAAAAGCTCATTATGCATAATTCTTGTTAAATTCATAATGGCACTGTTTATTATGAATACGCAATAGACATTAGATAATAGATATTATCATAAAAGTCGTAGAATTGAAAATAAAAAAAATGGTAACAGAATTGTCATATGTCAATAAGTATTGCTAAATCTAAGTGTCAAGTTACTAAGTCATAGATAATATTAGCGTAGAGTGCGATATTTTGAGATTAATGTTATAATAAGTTTTTTTGTTTTTAGAAAGAAAAAAATATAATTTGATACTTGTACTTGAAATTATGACGTGATATTAAATTAAACTCACTGCCAAAAGAATAAATGTTCAAGAAAAATGGTTTTTGGTACAAATTTTTTTTGGTACTTGGTATTTTAACTCAACAGGAAATCAAGACCTTACCAAAATGTAAATAATATTATTTTAAATAACATTTACCATCTGTGTGTCATCACATTGAATGTGTTGCTCCATACTCAGTGTCATATTGTGAGTTTGTAGTATCTGAAACAAAAATTAAACTATAAGAAGAAAATCAATGTTAGTATAACTAAAATAGTTTAATTGTGAAGCCTGTTCACAATGTTTTATCTATCGCGTCCGTCAGAGCTGACGTTCAGTCAAAGTCAAAACCTAACTTCATTTGATCACTGTTGTTGTTGAATGTGATAATAAACGAGAAACAAACCATAATTGTTAAGAAACTCTTAATTAATTAATAATATTTGTACTAAAAAAAGCAATTTACGTCTGAAAAAAGGTACGTACAAAAGTTTATTGACATTATTTGTTCTAAAACTTGACGATATTCGTTTCTCGAAATAACATAACCTCAAAGACATTTTCGCATCTGTTAAAACATGAAAATATTGGAAATTATAAAGAAATTTTTCTTTTAGTTAACTACAATGATAATCCCAGTGCGCTGTTTCACCTGTGGTAAAGTTATAGGAAATAAATGGGAGGCATACCTTGGCTTATTGCAAGCAGAATATACAGAAGGGTAAGTTATATGTATAGTTATATTAAAATATAGGTTAAATACGGTGAATAGGTTTTAAAATTAAGTATATTTTTTATAATAAGTACTGAATTTAATCCTAGTAATTGTGAACATTCTGTTTTCTTTTATTTGGTGAACATACATATACAGGGTGACTGGTGAATTACTATCGATATTTGAGGACGTGATATTTGACGATCACATATGACAAAATAAAAATTAATATAACATAAATATTAATAAACTTCTAAGTAAAGTTAACCAAAAGTTATGTAATTAATTACGCATCGTATGAACACCCTACAGATTAGGTATACACACACACTCACACAGACGCGGCGGCGGCGTGTTGTTGTATCAGCACGAAGCCGCACGCGCCCACACTTGGAACGTGTACACACTTTATTTATTTATACGGAAATTTGGTCAAAAATTAAGTACCTACTTTTTTTTAACAAAATTCGAATGAGAATCATGTACCGAGTATGCTCCTTAAATATTGATAGTAATTCACCAGTCACCCTGTATTAATTGGTTCGGCAGAAATCTCTCATGAAAGGTTCTATATAATTTTCGAGGTGTTGGAGCCTAGCTATGGTAAACTAACTAAAACTTTAACATGCATGCGCTCAATGAAGGAAGTACCACACTCTCATAGAAGATCGGCTTGAAATAGTAGTACTAGTATCGGCTTTAATGGCTGTGTTTTGTCCGATGAGTGAGACAGCTAGCTGTCTTTTCCCTGTTCCCATTTTTTCGTGCCATTTACTTATTCCCACCTTTTTACTAAATAACCTAGGTTGGCAATGCATCTACAACATAAAATATGTTGCAAATGCATGATCTCATAAAAAAAATTATACTTAAGTGCGATCAACTTCTTCAATACTTCTACTCTATACAATATCATAATTTTTACATTGATCATATAATCCAATATTTCATTACTTTTGTACTGAGATTTGTTTCTCAAAAAATGTTATTGTTTTTGTAGATAGATATGTAAAAGTTGAAGTTAATGTTTAATAATAAATTATTATTATATAGAGAATGTCTGTCTGATAGTTAATTAATTATGTTTGTGTCAATTATAGTAGGTATACAAAAAAACAATTGGATTGATGTAGACAAAGGGCTTATGGAGTTTAGTTTAAAGGAGTTTATAGTATGCTCATATAATAATGGCTTCAGACTTATCTTTGATATTAACCTTACTGAGTCATTACCGTCTATAAGGATTATTAACTAAGGCCAGGATAACCAAAATAATGTTTCTCACTTTCAAACTTAGTGATGATAAATTTATACCCAAAATGGGCAATATTTTTTTTAAATGTTTCTATGTCTTACAATTAACAAATTTGTTATTTAAAAATATATAATTAAATGCATTATTAACACCAAGTCTTGTAGAAACAGCAATTACTTTTTCAATCACACTTAATGAAAGAGAAAATTGTAATTTTGCCCTAAAAATCTATTTCAGTATGTTAATTATGTTTTCTTCAAATTAAAATAATTTCGTCAATAATTAATTTAGCCTTGTTAAATGTAGAAGGCTCTAATAGATAAGTCATTACAAGGCAATCTTAGTTCTATTTTAGTATTATGTTTTTCTACTTTATTACCTATTAATGACTAGGTTCTTATAAAAACAATAGTATTAATATACCATTATATGAAGAGATTAATTATTTTTTTATTAATTGTAATGATTTCACTGTAGTCCTATAGTTTGTATAGTCTTTAGTTTGTTTATTATAAAATTCTCTGTTTTCATTACTCTATGATATTTGTAAGGTAAATATAATTAGAGTTTTATATGTGCATATCTAAAACAATTCTAAATTATGAGAGATATATAATCTGATGACTTATATGAACCTTACATGATGCAGAAGTTAGGATCATTTCACCCATAATATGTTATATTCAGCAAGCTAAATTATACCAGTATAACTTATATTTTTAAGAAATAATTATATTATATAAATATATATGTAAATGTTTATATACATATGTGTGTGTGTTTACGTTGCTTTGTTTTCTTCAGTAAACTGAATATATTAAACTATTGTTTCAGTGATGCTCTTGACGCTCTCGGTCTGAAAAGGTATTGTTGCCGGCGCATGTTACTCGGACACGTGGATTTAATCGAGAAATTACTTAATTATGCACCGCTTGAGAAGTAATTACTGAACATTCCATTGTTGAACGATTTCAAGTTAAATGATGTACCAAAAATGGCCTTCATTATGTGGCAAAACAAATTTCATAGTAATGAAGATATATAATGTTTATAATTTTTATAATAAGTCTTGTAATGTACATTTACTGATCTGTAAATTGTAAAAAGTAAGTACTTCAATGACAAAATAAACTAATTAAGATAATGTGATCTTATGAATGTGTTTTATTTGTATATAGATTATAATTTCTTGTATAGATTAAAAAGTTAAAACCCTTTTGAGTTTTATCGTCGTCTTTTGTGAGAATGTTTTATTTACAAAATTACTAGTGATGTCTCTGAAAATACATGAATTAAGAACATTTAAATTTTTTATACATTTGAGGACCATTCGCAAAAAACTACAAAGAAAAAATCAATTAAAATCGACCATCCGTTCAATGACATGCAAAAAACCTGTTCCGTGTTTGATCTGCACATCTCCAATAGAATTATTCAACTCACTCAACTGTTACATAGTTACAGTCTAGTTGCTAATACTGTCCGAACTACTCTACTACTGTCCCGAAGTGGCCTAGCTCGTTGTGATTATAATTTCGGTTTTTCAAACTATTTTTACTATTATAATAAAGATTTTATTGATCTCAACTACGTATCGGCAGTCCATATTGATGTAGATGAGGAGAAAGTCATCTCAAGTTATACTGGTTTGCAAAATATCTTCCTCCTAAGTCGAGCATTGTATTGATCTCTGATCCTTGCCTCTCAAAACAAACTTCTTTAAGACATCATGGTACTAAAGCATTTTGAGTTTTTTTATGTTCAAAGGTGATTTAATAACGAATGAACTCTTAATGTTTTCTACCGTGTATATTTTAGGGAATCTTTTGAAGAATTTTAAGACTTAGTGTAGCATCACATTTTACTATTCCATTATTCTTTCCATATAATACATATCTGTTCATCTACATGTTTTATATTAAGACTAAGTGCATCTTCATGAGTTCTGCCATTCAAATCTTTCCTGTCTCCTAAAAGATCAAAATATAAGTTGGAGAAATATTGTAGGTACCTATAACTGCAAATACTTCAGATGTCAACGACCAACAGTGACTACTCACAAAAAAGGGGATTAACATATTTCTCTTAAGACTTCGTTAAGAGATTACTTTAAGATATAATGACTTCTCAAAAAACAAGAAATTTGTTCAGACTTTACACAAAATCTTTGCGGTTTTAGGAAACGTATATAAATTACCCGGAAAATTAAGTACTGGGTTCGTATAAACAATATCATTAAAGGGGACTTGTGGATAGGTGGAAAATAATGGAAAAATAATGCAATTTTTTTATTGCTTTTGCCACAATAAAGTTGAAAAAAAAGTTCGCTTTCAATTATCCTAATTGCATTTATATCAAAAAGTGTTATAAACAACTTCGTAATCGAAGATTGAAACAAAAGATTCCTTTTTGGGAACGATATCAAAAAAAAGGCAGAAAGAGATTGCTAAAATTTTGTTTTATGAGAGGATAATAAACAAATGAGAAGCCTTGTAACGTTTTCCCTGTTGGCGAGTCGATGGCCTCGTTTCTTTGAATAGAATGTAACATCGAACGATGCGCTTAAATAACAGGTTATATTTTATACACACTAAAACCGATACGCGAACCATAGAAAGTTACAGAAATATATGTTTAATTTCATAATAAAAGACTTAAAACTATGTGATGTACTTACCATAATAAACAAGTACCTAGTATTGAAAACATAAACAGTGTTCGTAAACTGATTTAAATTTCCTATGGATTCATTTTTAAAGATTATTGTTCTCACTTCTTACTCTTCACAAGATATATACCTAAAATAAATTTGAAAACAACGCATATAAATCAAAATCGTTTTTATAACGCAAATACATTCGAAAGTAAAAATATGTATGCAGACGATTTAGAAACCTGTTTTTATGGAATCGATAAAAAATTGTTGCAACGACCATGCCTTTTATCGTTTGCTATTTGTAATTAATAAAGTAACATCTATGATTTGAGCGACCATTTCGAAAGAGTCGCATTTCGACATAATTGTATAGCAAGTTTATTGTAGCTTGATAAAAATGTTATCTATCGAATGTGTTCCGCTTATTACTATTACTAGGTATATTTCGGTTTTCTTGCATTATTTCCGATCTAATTTCAAAATAAGACGATTAATAGATTCGTAATTAGATTGCTTTTAATACATATTAGTAATGTAGTAAAATTTCCATACAAATATGTTCATATAATAGCACATTATTTATAAATACAGACGTAGTTAAGCCATAGCTAGTTCTCTGGCACCCACGACCCCAATTTCCTTGTCTACGATTGCAACTATCCCACGTATAATTTTGCAACGTCGTCTAACGTTAATTTTAGTTCGACTAGCGCACCATAGAACATTTCTATGTATTATTCATAGAAACATAATACATATTGTCCATAACAATATATTTTTGTGCTAGTAAAATTTATTTCAATCATATCATATCTGTTTGTTTGCATCTCTGACATTTGTATTTTGTAGAATGATTGTAGAAGCAGTATTACAAACTAGACACAAAAAAAAAATCTAATAATTAACAAACATTATGCCTAAATATTTAAACCATGACGGTCGTCACGGTTTATTAAGTGAAAACAAATTTAAAATTGAATGAATAGATAAAAGAAACCGGTAAGTCACTCTCATGTAAATAATTCCAAATTGTAACGCAAATGACCAGCTTTTATATGTAGGATTCGCTTCAGTTGTTACACGACAATGTAATTGAATGGTATTTAAAAACGTTATATAGAATTGGCTTTTCAAAACACACCTTGCCCATAAACTTTTAGTATAATTTGTTTAAGGCTACTTTGTTGTTAACTTAAGTACCGAAAGTTACAAAGTTCTAACTTTAGAAATTTTCTGACACTATTAGGCACGTATGAAGGGTTAAGAAATGGATTTAATAGGGTTGTCAAATAGAAGAAAGACTTAATAGTATTTTAAGCTTTTAAATTGCCCTTAGGAGATGTATAAATAAGAGTAATTTTTAATATTGTTGGAATAATTTAGCAACAAAAAAAAATTGACTTGCTTTATTATAGAGATGAGTAACATAGACAGTATGAGACTGCGGTGAAGATAAAGAACAAGATTGTTTTATTTACACGTTTTTATATACGCGAATACCTACTGATAAAAACTGTGATACCTTTAATCCTATCAAGGTCAGACAGAATTCAACCTTTTTACTGACATAAAAAAACTTTATTATTGACATTTAGTTTAAAGGAACTATCGAAAAAAAAGGAATTAAAAGTTAACTGTGACCTTAAAAATTATGGATTGAAGATAAAAACGAAATTGTAAATACGCAAAGTATACAGGATTATAGGTAATCCTTTTGATTCGTTTATAAACTGTCTAGTTTTAATTTTAGTCATCATTCTGAGAAAGTGAAGAAGATTTTAATTTAAAATTGTCTTTTAAGTTGTATTAAATATTCTTTGTGAGCGTTTTTAATAAACATTGATAGTAATGAGACGTGAAAATAGGAAGTATGAAAGATAACACATAGATTATAAATGATTAAGTTTGACCTACATACAAAATCGTTAACTTTTACGCCAGAAAACAAAATGCTAGTCGGTTAGTTATTTGAGGGCTAGTTAATATCTAATCTTCTTCGAAACTAATTCTATAATAACTTCGAAATTGAAAATCACTTTTGAGGATGATCCCCTTTTAAGAAAATTTTTTTTGACCTTAGAAGAAATAATTTAGGATCAAATTTGAGACAAAAATTTATTTTCCTTTTCTGAGCTCTTCCACTTGCTTCCGATACATGCAGTACCGATTGCGTATAAAATCTCTGACTGTGCTGTAAACTGCATACCAGTATAAATACACAAATATCGTAAGTGGTATTTCTCAATCTAAAATGCCAAAACCATAACCACTTCATCCTAGCATAATCCCTTCTGACAACCATCGTTGCTTTATAACTATCCACCTGAATATTCCTTAAGCAAGTTCTTCAATGGCAAAGTTTTTTACCAGACTTTAATTAAAGACTTTCACGACATGTATTCCAAAAGCTAATACTTCTTCCCTACCAACAATGGCTTTACCTTACCAATAATTTTTGTGTGCTGAAACCATAATGTTGGCAAAGTTACGCTAGTTTTTAGAGTAGAGAAACTAAAACCTGTGATTTGATGATTTATGTGACAACAGAGAGATAATTTTATAGTTACGTAAAACAGGTTAGACTTTTCGGGAATATAAGAAATGTTATATTTCGTCTGTGAAAACCTGAATCTAATTCTTGTCTGGTATGAAAATATTTTGTAGACAGACTTATGGGCTTTTTTTGTAATACATTAAGAGAATATTTTTTTTTAATTGAAAATAGTATGAAGTAATTAAATTAAAAATAGTATGAAGTAATTAAATAAGATATCACATATTGCCTTTCTCATAATATGTTCATCGAAAGAGGTTTGTAGGTAGGTATCATTGGCACCGAGTAATAAATTATAATCTGTGCATATAATGACGTTATATCTCAATAAACTGCAGTAATATAGCTATATTTTCTTTAGTTTATGTGTTATTTTATAAAGCTATAAACAATCAATCTTACAGTCATTGTATTATGATTTAAATTATAAAGACATAATTTACTACATTTATTAAAATGAAGTGTCATTGTGACGTTCACTTTTTTTAATTTCCATTTGAGGTAAAACAATAAAGGTTACAAATTCAATGCCAAATAAAGTTGTTTATGTTTTAGCGAAGGAGGTCCTGAATTAAGACCTTGATTTTGAATAAACTGGATGTTTAACAAATCTTTAATGTCATCTGTAATTTACTTGGAATGTAAGAGGAAGATCCTATGAGGTAGTTGTTAAAATTAACAACAATGTATAATAATTTCAAAGCTATGAATAGTCCATTAAGGCAATATAATG